TCATATGATAGAGCAAATATCCAAAACCTTGCAGAGAAAATATCCAACAGACAATCTCTTCGAAAAAATAGAAACTATTGGAGCCAAGACTTAAAAAGAACTGATGTTGGCACAAAATGGAGGGAAAGTTGGAGCATAACTAATTCAATTAAAGTTAACAAAAATGTATGCTTAATCCAGTATAAACAAATGTATAGAATTTGTTATACAAGAGACAAAATTCACAAATTCTACAGCACAAAGGTAGGTTTATGTCTTAAGTGTAAACTAATAATGACTCAATAATCCATGCTTTCTGGGAATGCTATGATGTCTGGAAGTTGTGGGCGGAGCTAGAAAGTTGGCTGTCAGAAGTATTACAATGTAAACTTACTTTTAATCCGTCTGTCTGCATATTTCAAGACATGGCATATGGGGGTGTAGTGAGATACCCAATGATTTATTATTGAAAAAGCATTGGGCGACAGAGAAAATGTGTCAAATTGAAGGCCATGTGGCAAACAATAATGCAGACACTAGGGATGGAGGTGTGAGCATGTGGATCTGGGCAGAGGAGATGTGGTCATTGTTTGTGTGTGTCTTTTAAGTTGTTCATATGTGTATGTTTGTATTTGGTGTAAAAAAAACTAAACAAATGGAAATAAACATTGTAGCCACACTGTAAGAAATGATTCTGGGGTGAATTGAAATAGACACTGGGTATATAAAACATTAAGAGAACCTGCTGTTTCCATTACATAGACTGACCAGGTGAAAGCTATGATCCCTTATTGATGTCACTTATTAAATCCACTTCAATCAGTGTAGATAAAGGGGGGAGACAGGTTAAAGAAGGAGTTCTAAGCCTTGAGACAATTGAGACAATTATTGTGAATGGACAAGACAAAAGATTTAAGTGCCTTTGAACTGGGTATGGTAGTAGGTGCCAGGCGCAACGGTTTGTATCAAGAACTGCAACGCTGCTGGGTTTTTCACACTCAACAGTTTCCCATGTGTATCAAGAATGGTCCACCACCTACAGGACATCCAGGCAACTTGACACAACTGTGGGAAGCATTGGAGTCAACGTGGGCCAGCAACCCTGTGGAACGCTTTTGACACCTTGTAGAGTCCATGCCCCGACGAATTGAGGCTGTTTTGAGGCGGAGGGGGAGGGGTGGAGGGGGGGGGGGGGTGCAACTTAATATTAGGAAGGTGTTCCTAATCTTTGGTATACTCAGTGTAGACAGGTCACCCCTCTCTCCACCGAAGACCAGGGTTAAATTCCCCGCTGCAACACTTCAATCTGTTTCTCCCACCTATCAGTATCCCCGCTGTCATTTCATAACAATAAAGTGTCAAAATACTTCAATAAATATCTTTCAATACCCCAAAAATGTTGTTTCAATTATTTGTTATTTTCATTTTACAAAAATAATGTAAATACAATTTAACATGTTGCTCAAAATGTAAGCATCTTTCATGAGGATAACCAAAGAAAGAGACAATAGAGTGATTGAATTTATGTCCATTCTTGCCACATGTCCATTCTTGCCACATGACTCTGTTTTTAGAGGATTGTGGGTAATTCATAATTTTTGTATTTTATGATTCTTTCACACAATATTGTATGCATGTTTAAGAAATAAAATGATATTTCTATACTAGTATTAAGCTTGTTGTGCCATGAGGTGTAATGGATCATGATAAACACATATCAAAACCGTTAGACAAATTGATGTTCAATGAGGACAGCACCCATTCCTTCCCACATTCATGATTGTTAATGTAAGAGGAAAGTGCAGAATCCTCAAGTCTTACAGTTCAACCTCCAGTTACTGCTGGTGGTTTGAACACTACTTGATAATGCCTGGCAAAATTGTATATAATGGAAAATGATCAAATACTTAAAGTAATATTAAACATTAAGACACTTCAGAAAAAAATATATTTCTGCACTAGACAGGATTCAAAACATCATAATTTAGAAGCTTTAGAGAGAGGAAACAACACCAAAACAGGACTTGAAACAGTAAACAGGACTTGAAACACCAAAATAGTGTTTTCAACCCTTTCTGTTAGTGCTCCCAGTCCCAGGCAAGGTGTTGCAGATCACTTGATTAAGTGGTGTTACAACACACCATGTAATATTTCAAAACATCTCAGGATGATGTGTTTCAAGACTGCAGCAAGTTAAGGTTTTGTCTCCTTCAAGTTGGTGGCAGCTCAGTTGCCACTAGTTTTGGTGTTAAAAAGCACTTAATTTTAACAGTGTATGTTTGGGGCAAATCTAATTCAATCGAGTACAGGCTTAACTGAATGACAACAGAGACAGAATAAAATAATGAAATGTTATTGAATAGTTTGGGGTAGGCCTCATCTCCGAGGAATACTCCTCAGAGGTAGATTCTGATGACAGGTTGCCCTATGCTGGGCAGCTGGCATCGAACCTCCCCTACTGGGAGAACGGGGATTAAACAACGGGCCTTCAGTTGGTGGGGAGGTGGAAGGTCGCTGCAAGACTGTTGCTGTAAAACAGCAAGTGGGAGACACAAGGTTTGAGTTTACATATAAATACTCCTCTAGATTTATGCCCATTGGTTGAAAGAAAGCAAAGTGATTATTGCACGAGTGAGCCCATAGGTTAATCAGCAAGCGTGGTGGAATTGCCTTAGTGTGCCCTGCTCATTGGCTGAAGTTAATAGGTGAATGACATTCTGCATGCCTGCTAATAGTAAAGGGGGAGGAGAGACGTGACGCTATGCTAATGAGGTAACATTATGACACTACCATATAAATACCTGCTATGCTGATGAGTGAGATAGGAAGTGATGTGAATGATGTGTTTACTAGATTAATAAAAAATGACGAGCCATTCAGACCAGCTGTCCTGATTGAACTTTTGTAAACTACATTTCAATCAAATACAGCCTTAACTGAAGCCATAAGACTACTGAGCAATTAATCAAATGGCCACCCGGACTATTTACATTGACACCCCCCCCACCCCCTCCCCCCTCACCACTTTGTTTATACACTGCTGCTACTCGCTGTTTATTATCTATGCATAGTCACTTTACCCCTACCTTCATGTACAAATTACCTCGACTAACCTGTACCCCCGCACATTGACTCGGTACCGGTACCCCCTGTATATAGCCTCATTATTGTTCATTTATTGTGTTACTTTTTTTTATATATTTTTTTACATTAGTTTATTTTAGTAAATATTTTCTTAACTCTATTTTCTTAAAACTGCATTGTTGGTTAAGGGCTTGTAAGTAAGCATTTCACGGTAAGGTCTACACCTGTTGTATTCGGCGCATGTGACAAATACATTTTGATTTGATTTGATTTTTTTATTTATAGCTTAGAGCTAGGACAGGCGACCGGGCGCCGGCTAAGGCTGGGGTTGCGAACTGGCTATGGGCAGGGACTTCACACCTAGAGGAGCAGATAACCTAGCGGGACGGGAGACCCAGGGCCTAGAACTAGGGCAGGAGGTTTGGCGTGTAGCACTAAGGGAGCTGACTGCTTGCCGACTGAGGCTGGGGGCTGCAGACCAATGGAGGGCAGAGGCTGCAGACCCTAGTGGGGCAGAGAAGCTATAGCCTGGTGGAGCAGTGGACTGAGGGCTGGTTAGAGCTGGAGAAAGTGAAACTAGAACGGCTGAGGGCTGGGAGCCTGGTGCTGATAACTTTGGACCTGACAGTGAAAGTGACTCTGGATCTGACAGTGAAAGTGACTCTGGACCTGACAGTGAAACTGACTCTGGGCCTGACAGGCAAACTGACATGGCTACGCTAGTTGTCATGGTAATGGCTGGTGTGTGCAGTGGTGTAGGCTGATTGGTGGTGGTGCTCGTGCTTCCTCTCACTCAGAAGATGTTGTGTAGCAAGCTAATGTGACAACAATGCCTGCCATGGAAGTTTCCCAGTTGCATTGAATGTTTGAAATCATAGTGTAAGAACACTTTTAAAGCCTCAAAGGATATGATCCAACTTTCAAAATGAGTCCTTTTTGGCTAGCCACAACAGTCAACTAGCTAGCTGTTTAGCCAAATAACAGATTTGTATTTGATTTCATAGGTGGTTTGTATCTGACTTGAAAATATCAGATTCCATGTGGGTTTTGACTGTTCAGACTGCAGGAAAAAGATGAGAGAAAATTTAAATAGGATATGCAAAAGAATAGGATTTGAGTCACTTCAAACTGCCAGTGTGAACAAGGTTTAATCAACCTATCATGTGCCTTCTTAAGGACATTTTGTGTGAAGACTAGAGGGTGTGAAGACTAGTGCAATCAAGATTTCTAAGTTTTGTATTTTATTAATTTTTTTAATTCTGAAAAAGGTCTTCCACTTTGAAAGTGTGGAGTAGGTTGTGTAGGTCAGTGAATCCCAATTGAATGCATTTATTTTATTGTTAAGGCAGAACATTTAGAAAACTGTGCAATGGTGTGTAGACTTTCAATATTGACTGTATTTAGGACTATCTAAATGAAGTGTTGTAGCCCTAACGTTAACCCTTACCCTAACCATAACCCTAGCAAGCTATTGTATATCCACAGTTTGTTGATAGTTTGAGGATCTGTAGATCATCTATAGGGAACTATCAAAATAAAGTGTGACCAAGTTAACAACCTAATGCTTTCCTCTTGCCAACTTTATGAGATCAGTGATTACTTCATGGAAAGAAGGATGCATTTCTTATCGGCCCAAAAATCATATGGCCAAGCATCAGGAACTGAAAAACATATGCTTCACAAGACAGTTTTGGGGCATTTCAAATGTTTATTGCATAATCTTTTCACTGTGAGTCAGATACCTTAAGACTGTGTTCCGATATACACACTAGCATACCACTTACAACTCATACACAGCACATCGCTTCATTCTAAGTGGTATGTTAATGTGGATATTGGAACACAGGCATTTGACTTATGGTACAGATGTATAGAGTGGGAGTAGTCATCTTCCTTGATGACCCTTTGGACAGAGCCAGTTGCGGTCAGGACATTCACTGCTTGTGGCCCTTGGAGGAAGCAGAGTTCCACATTTCATCTCCGTCCTTCTCAACGACCAGGTTGCCGTCGTTGCGCAGGTACATGCGACACATCTTGAACCCTTGACCCTGGCTCTTCGTTTGCCAAATTATCTTGTTATCCCTCTTGTACATGACAAAGTTGCAGTCGTCCTGCATGCACAGGCGGTAGGCGTCACGCTGGCCGGCGGTGTCAGAGGACCACATCTGCCTCCAGCCATTGATGACAAAGTTACCATCCTCCTGTGTAGACAAGAGATAAAGGATTGTGGTATGCACAGAACAATTTGAAAGGTTTTGGGTAGGTGCAAACACACAAACAGTTTGGGAGACACTGTCCTAGTTCAGCTGACTGCAGATGACACATTGTCTATCTGTGAATGTATTTAGATAGCAGCTTTAAAGAAGCTTCAAACCTACCTGGAAAACTGCCTTGTATTCCTTGTTATTGGACCACATGTAGTCTCCCTTACGCATCTCATCATACTTGGACATGTAATTCCTGCTCATGATTCTGAAATAAAGAAATAAAGAATAAATAAATAAAACCCTTCTTAGCAAAACATTTAATATATACCTTGCCTTTTCTAAATTCCAGTAGCAAATATTTCCATGGCAAAAATGAGTACATTAATAGCTTTTGAAATAGTAAAATAATGGGCCATTCAATGGACCACCTTTCAAAAGGTGAATAGCACCCTTCACATGAGGCATTTTGACAGTTGACAAGAGTTTAAGTGGCCTCCAAAGACATTTCAGTTTTTAGCTAATTGAAATCACTGCTTGGAGTTATCTCCCGTAACACAGCATTTAGCGGGAGACATGCTATACCCAGACACTTTAGTTGGTAAACTCCCGTTATGATACTCACAGGCCGTGTGTGGTTCAATAGTTCGGATTGATGAGGCTGAAGGTTCCAGATGAAGTGAAACTGGTAAAGAAACTGTCCTCTTTATACCCACAGAGAAGAGGGCAAGACAGGGGGACAGTGGAGGAGGAGACCGGAGCAGAAGACAGCTTTCTTTCATGGCTGAATGGACACTGAGATGCATAAGACACCCTTGAACCCAGTAAAACGTGTGGTAGTTAATTGGACTGGAATCTTGAAAAAATAAAATGCTTTCATAGTTTGGATTAGATTGCCTAGATTAGAGTTTAATCATCTTCAGCTGGTGTATCTGGCTGGACACATTGAGGATGCTAAATTCTTGTTTTGATCTGGTCTTGTGATAATCTTTTAAAAGATCAAATCGTTTTTAAAGTTACATTTTATTTTTCGTGGCCAAGAGTTCATCTGTATTTCGTACGTAGTAGTGACTAATTAGCCCCTAAATTCTTTGTGAATTATTTAGCTAATGGAATAGAGTTAGCTGGTAGGCATGCTTTTAAGAAGCATTCTAGATAAGCATTGAATGTTGTTTCAACACCATCTACCATTACCCGATCATTACAGTATATTGTTACTTTGAAGTGTCCTATTTCGTTTTTTGAAGTACCAGTACTGGTCATGCTTAAGATTGGATAAGGAATACCACTAATGGTGTTGCCTTCAGCAAGCACATTAATGCCGTCTTCAAATGCTCATTGGAACTGGGAAATCTCCCGGTTATGAGTCGTAAGTCTGACGTGATTGTGTTCAAGTAAAAACATGTTTTTAACCAGCTAGGTAAATGAGCTATCTAACGTTGCTCATGATAAAGTTAGCTAACTTGCTTAACATTGAGAGTATGGTCAAACTAGCTACATTATCCACCTTGATAAGTTTAACACTGTCAATGGATTTGCTTGATCATCTTTTGGTTGAAAAGGTGAAAGGTCAGTGATGAAATGTCACAACTTGTAAACTCGGGTATCAACATTATCTCTTACTTTTCACTGATAACATAATTTTGTATGAATGCCTTTCACATCAGTTTCTTCTTTGAAAGATATACTTTAATGTAATGTGTCGAATTATCACCAAGCAAGTAAGAGCACACATTTTCAATTACCAATAAACTCTAAAGGGTCAGGTTTGAAAGCATAGGCTACCGTAATATGACATGTTTTGTTACTACCAAATAGCTAAGTCGTTCACATTCTTTCCCTCTGAGTAAGGGCCAGCATTTAACCATCAACATCAATAATATTATTTGACCACGATTAACATGAAACCATATGAAAACTGAGGAGTACACCACATCAGTCACTGGCTTCATCAATAAGTGCATCGATGATGTCATCCCCACAGTGACCGTTCGTACATACCCCAACCAGAAGCCATGGATTACAGGAAACATCCGCACAGAGCTAAAGGGTAGAGCTGCTGCTTTCAAGGAACGGGACTCTAACCCGGACGCTTATAAGAAATCCCGCTATGCCCTCCGACGAACCATCAAACAGGCAAAGAGTCAATACAGGACTAAGATTGAATCGTACTACACTGGCTCTGACGCTCGTCGGATGTGGCAGGGCTTGAAAACTATTACAGACTACAAAGGGAAGCACAGCCACGAGCTGCCCAGTAATACAAGCCTACCAGACGAGCTAAACCACTTCTATGCTCGCTTCGAGGCAAGCAACACTGAAGCATGCATGAGAGCACCAGCTGTTCCGGATGACTATGTGATCACGCTCTCCGTAGCCGATGTGAGTAAGACTTTTAAGCAGGTCAACATTCACAAGGCCGCAGGGCCAGACGGATTACCAGGACGTGTACTCCGAGCATGTGCTGACCAACTGGCAAGTGTCTTCACTGACATTTTCAACATGTCCCTGACTGAGTCTGTAATACCAACATGTTTCAAGCAGACCACCATAGTCCCCGTGCCCAAGGATTCTAAGATAACCTGCCTAAATGACTACCGACCCGTAGCACTGACGTCTGTAGCCATGAAGTGCTTTGAAAGGCTGGTCATGGCTCACATCAACAGCATTATCCCAGAAACCCTAGACCCACTCCAATTTGCATACCGCCCCAACAGATCCACAGATGATGCAATCTCTATTGCACTCCACACTGCCCTTTCCCACCTGGACAAGAGGAACACCTACGTGAGAATGCTATTCATTGACTACAGCTCAGCATTCAACACCATAGTACCCTCTAAGCTCATCACTAAGCTAAGGATCCTGGGACTAAACACCTCCCTCTGCAACTGGATCCTGGACTTCCTGACGGGCCGCCCCCAGGTGGTAAGGGTAGGTAACAACACATCTGCCACACTGATCCTCAACACGGGGGCCCCTCAGGGGTGCGTGCTCAGTCCCCTCCTGTACTCTCTGTTCACCCATGACTGCATGGCCAGGCACGACTCCAACACCATCATTAAGTTTGCCGACGACACAACAGTGGTAGGGCTGATCACCGACAACGATGAGACAGCCTATAGGGAGGAGGTCAGAGACCTGGCCGTGTGGTGCCAGGACAACAACCTCTCCCTCAACGTGACCAAGACAAAGGAGATGATTGTGGACTACAGGAAAAAAATTTGGACTGAGCACGCCCCCATTCTCATCGACGGGGCTGTAGTGGAACAGGTTGAGAGCTTCAAGTTCCTTGGTGTCCACATCACCAACGAACTATCATGGTCCAAACACACCAAGACAGTCGTGAAGAGGGCACGACAAAGCCTATTCCCCCTCAGGAGACTGAAAAGATTTGGCATGGGTCCTCAGATCCTCAAAAAATTCTACAGCTGCACCATCGAGAGCATCCTGACTGGTTGCATCACCGCCTGGTATGGCAACTGCTTGGCCTCCGACCGCAAGGCACTACAGAGGGTAGTGCGTACGGCCCAGTACATCACTGGGGCCAAGCTTCCTGCCATCCAGGACCTCTATACCAGGCGGTGTCAGAGGAAGGCCCTCAAAATTGTCAAAGACTCCAGCCACCCTAGTCATAGACTGTTCTCTCTGCTACCGCACGGCAAGCGGTACCGGAGTGCCAAGTCTAGGTCCAAAAGACTTCTCAACAGCTTCTACCCCCAAGCCATAAGACTCCTGAACAGCTAATCATGGCTACCCGGACTATTTGCACTGCCCCCCCACCCCATCCTTTTTACGCCGCTGCTACTCTGTTAATTATTTATGCATAGTCACTTTAACTCTACCCACATGAACATATTATCTCAACTACCTTAACTAGCCGGTGCCCCCGCACATTGACTCTGCAACGGTACCCCCCTGTATATATAGCCTCCCTACTGTTATTTTATTTTACTTCTGCTCTTTTTTTTCTCAACACTTTTTTTGTTGTTGTTTTATTTTTACTTTTTTTGTTAAAAATAAGTGCACTGTTGGTTAAGGGCTGTAAGTAAGCATTTCACTGTAATGTCTGCACCTGTTGTATTCGGCGCATGTGACCAATAAAATTTGATTTGATTTGATTTGATTTGATTTGAAACTGTAGCTCTCCCTTTATGTCAGAAATGCTGTTGTTCTGCTGAAGTCAGCATTCCTTCCAGACCAACAGACAAGCTTCTTTCAGGATGTAATTTAAGATCATCTGATTAGATTTGCGAGAGGCGTCTGACTTGTTTGTGAACATGATTAGATCCAACATGCACAAGGTTTTTATCTGTGAAAATGGAAAGAAAACTGTACCTGTTCTCTGCTTTGAGATCCAGCTTGAGTTAGCTATCTGTTAATTTATTGGAGTAGTAATCAAAAGGGACATTACGAGAGCATCACTTTCTGTGTAAATTCAATTAGAATGGGATGAGGGGGGAACATGGGATCATGTCCCTGGCAGGCTGTAGTCGTTTAACCCATCTGCAAATCTGAAGATGGACTTCAGTTGAAATTGTATTTATAGTGATGATATAAACTAATACTCTACTACATCGTGCATATTGTTGTTAATTTTCATATTCAGGTGTGAAGTGTCAGATCGAACAATGATGTAAAGACGATAATAGAATGATATAACAGGAAAGTACAATGTGTTGGAGAAATGCTTGGGCACATCATGTTTTATTTTATTTGCTTATGATGGTGCAATAATGACAATCCATTGCACTCTGTCCTTCATAGAAGTCCCTTAACATTTTGGAGATAGTGTTGTTTTTTTCCCCCTCAAGAGACGTTCTGAACCTTGAAGGTCGGGCACCCTAGGGCACTGGGCACCAGGGCAGTCTAATCAATTACATTTCAATCAAATATATTTATAAAGCCCTTTTTACATCACCAGATGTCACAAAGTGCTATACAGAAACCCAGCCTAAAACCCCAAACAGCAAGCAATGCAGATGTAGAAGCACAGTGGCTAGGAAAAACTTGACTGTAGCATATTTTCTATTAGTCTATTGAAATACTCTATATTTTATGTGCAACATGATATGCTTTAATACCTGTATATATCCCATTGCATGTTTTACAAATGACTTCATTATGAAGTAAAACATAAAGACCCCAGGAAACAAACACAAGCACACAGAAAATATACTTTTTAACAACTTTATTGAATGAGCTCTGTTGACAGCGAGTGTTGAGACCACTCCTCTAAGATGTAAGTTGAAGGTTGTTTCTCAACTCTCTGGAGGAGCTGCAGTCGAACACTTCACTTCTGACCCTTGGAGGAGGCAGAGTTCCACACCTCCTCACCGTCCTTCTCGATGACCAGGTTGCCGTCGTTACGCAGCCACATGCGACACATCTTGAAGCCGTCAGTCCTCGGGGAGTTGGTGTGCCACATGGTTTTGTTGTCCCTCGTGTACATGACGAAGTTGCCGTCGTCTTGCATGCACAGACGGTAGGCGTTGCTCATGCCAGGAGTTTCAGAGGACCACATCTGCCTCCAGCCATAGATGACAAAGTTGCCGTCCTCCTGTGTAGACAAGCCACACAGAGCAGCGCGTTTGAATGTATTCATTAGAATCAACATTACATTACATAAATAAAGCATGTCATTTTTCCATTTAAACCTTCTACTGTCCAAAAAATACATAACAGGTCACAGCCATCATACTACCCACCTGAAAAATTGCCTTGTATTCCTTGTTATTGGACCACATGTAGTCTCCTTTCCGCATCTCGTCATACTTGGACATATAGTTCCTGCTCATGTTCTGCAAAGAGAAAGGTGAAGACAACCACAGAATGTGAGTTATATCAAATTGAGTTATTCCTGCAACACTCAGTGAAGTGATCAGTTTTGTCAGGCAGCAATACTCACAGGCTTGGTGTTGTTAAGTGGATCTGACTGATGATGAGACTGGTGCTCCCGGTAAAGTGAGGATAGTAAAGAGCTGTCCTGTTTTATACGCCCTGAGAAATGAGGGAGAGGTGGGAGAGAGAGGAGGGAGGAAGAAGACTGTTCCTTTCATGCGGTGGTCACAAACAGTCAAAGAACATCAAATTAATTTCACATTAAAGGCGACTTGTGGATTAATTAAATAAAACCCCAACTAGATTCCTTCGTGGAGACAGCCCTAAAATAACATCGAAAAAATTACCCAAAGTGAACAGCACTGTCTGAAAAGAGTCAGACATCACATTACAGTCACCAACCCAGCAACCACTGCCTATCATCCTCTTCTGTTGAAAGAGTGCCCTCTAGCTGTGTTTTACATCGTGGTTGTCACCTTCTCTTGCCCTCCACTGCACAATGGGTTCTCAAAGTATGAGCAAAATTAATCAGGGACCCCCTCATAATCAGAACACAACTCCCACTTTAGAGTGCAATTTTTTCCCCTGCATTTTATTTGTCACATGTCTCGTAAACAACAGGTGTAGGCTAACAGTGACATGCTTACTTACATTTACATTTTAGTCATTTAGCAGACGCTCTTATCCAGAGCGACTTACAGTTAGTGAGTGCATACATTATTATCTTTTAATTTTTTCATACTGGCCCCCCGTGGGAATCGAACCCACAACCCTGGCGTTGCAAACGCCATGCTCTACCAACTGAGCTACATCCCTGCCGGCCATTCCCTCCCCTACCCTGAACGACGCTGGGCCAATTGTGCGCCGCCCCATGGGTCTCCCGGTCACGGCCGGCTACGACAGAGCCTGGATTCGAACCAGGATCTCTAGTGGCACAGCTAGCACTGCGATGCAGTGCCTTAGACCACTGCGCCACTCGGGCCCTTCCCAACTACACAGAGAGAAAAAAAGAGAAATCATAGAAAAATAATAACACAAAGAATAAATGCACAATGAGTAATGATAACTTGGCTATATACATGGGGTACCAGTACCGAGTCGATGTGCAGGGGTACGAGGTAATTGAGGTAGATACAGTGCTTTCATAAAGTATTCATACCCCTTGACTTATTCCACATTTTGTTGTGTTACAGCCTGAATTCAATTTCTTGCACATTTATTGAAAATGAAATACAGAAATATATCATTTACATAAGTATTCACACCTGAGTCAATACTTTGTAGAAGCACCTTTGGCAGTGATTACAGCTGTGAGTCTTTCTGGGTAAGTCTCTAATAGCTTTCCACACCTGGATTGTGCAACACATACCTATTATTATTTTCTAAATTCTTCCAGCTCTGTCAAATTGGTTGTTGATCATTGCTTGACAACCATTTTCAGGTCTTGCCATAGATTTTCAAGTAGATTTAAGTCAAAACTGTAACTCGGCCACTCAGGAACATTTACTGTCTTCTTGGTAAGCAACTCCAGTGTAGATTTTGCCTTGGTTTTTGTACTGCTGAAAGGTGAATTCATCTCCCAGTGTCTGGTGGAAAGCAAACTGAACCACGTTTTCCTCTTGTATTTTGCCTGTGCTTAGCTCCATTCCGTTTATTTGTTATCCTGAAAAACTCCCCCGTCCTTAACGATTACAAGCATTACCATAACATGATGCAGCCACCACTATGCTTGAAAATATAGAAAGTGGTACTCAGTAATGTGTTGTATTGGATTTGCCTCAAACATAACACTTTGCAGTATTACTTTAGTGCCTTGCTGCAAACAGGAAACACGTTTTGGATTTTTTAAAATTCTGTACAGGCTTCCTTCTTTTCACTCTGTCAATTAGGTTAGTATTGTGGGGTATATACAATGTTGTTGATCAATCCTCAGTTTTCTCCTATCACAGCTATTACACTCTGTAAAATTTTTTAAAGTCACCATTGGCCTCATTGTGAAATCCCTGAGTGGTATCCTTCCTCTCCGGAAACTGAGTTAGGAAGGACACCTGTACCTTTGTAGTGACTGGTTGTATTAATACGCCATCCAACGTATAATTAATAACTTCACCATGCTCAAAGGGAGATTCAGTGTCTGCTTTTTCTATTTGTACCCATTTACCAATAGGTGCTCTTCTTTGCGAGGCATTGGAAAACCTCCCTGGTCTTTGTGGTTGAATCTGTGTTTGAAATTCACTGCTCGAATGAGGGACCTGACAGATAATTGTATGTGCGGGGTACAGAGATGATGTAGTCATTCAAAAATCAGGTTCAACACTATTATTGAACACAGTGAGTCCATGCAACTTATTATGTGACTTAAGCAAATGTTTACTCCTGAACTTATTTAGGCTTGCCATAGCAAAGGGATTGAATACTTATTGACTCAAGACATTTCAGTATTTCATTTTTGTCAAGGGGTGTGAATACTTTATGAAGGCACTGTATGTACAGTACCAGTCAAAAATTTGGACACACTTACTCATTCCAGGGTTTTTCTTTATTTTTAACTATTTTCTACATTGTAGAATAATAGCGAAGCCATCAAAACTATGAAATAACACATATGGAATCATGTAGTAACCAAAAAAATATATTTTATATTTGAGATTCTTCAAATAGCCACCCTTTGCCTTGATGACAGCTTTGGACTCTCCCAACCAGCTTCACCTGGAATGCTTTTCCAATAGTCTTGAAGGAGTTCCCACATATGCTGAGCACTTGTTGGCTGCTTTTCCTTCACTCTGCCGTCCGACTCATCCCAAACCATCTCAATTTGGTTGAGGTCGTGGATTGTGGAGGCCAGGTCATCTGATGCAGCACTCCATCACTCTCTTTCTTGGTAAAATAGCTCTTACACAGCCTGGAGGTGTTTTGAGTCATTGTCCTGTTGAAAAACAAATGATAGTCCTATTAAGCCCAAACCAGATGGGATGGCGTATCACTGCATAATTCTGTGGTAGCCATGCTGGTTATGTGTGCCTTGAATTCTAAATAAATCACAGACAGTGTCACCAGCAAAGCACCCCCACACCATAACACTCCCACCCCCATGCTTTACGGTGGGAACTACACATGCAGAGATAATCCGTTCACCCACACTGCGTCTCACAAAGACACAGTTGGAACCAAAAATCTCAAATTTGGACTCCAGACCAAAGGACAGATTTCCACCGTGTTTCTTGGCCCAAGCAGGTCTCTTCTTCTTATTGGTGTCCTTTAGTAGTGGTTTCTTTGCAGCAATTCGACCATGAAGGCCTGATTCACACAGTCCCCTCTGAACAGTTGATGTTGAGATGTGTCTGTGACTTGAACTCTGTGAAGCATTTATTTGGGCTGCAATTTCTGAGGCTGGTAACTCTAATGAACTTATCCTCTGCAGCGGAGGTAACTCTGGGTCTTCCATTCCTGTGCCAGTTTCATCATAGCGCTTAATGGCTTTTGCGAATGCACTTGAAGAAACTTTCAAAGTTCTTGAAATGTTCTGGATTGACTGACCTTCATGTCTTAAAGTAATGATGGACTGTCATTTATCTTTGCTTATTTGAGATGCTCTTGCCATAATGTGGACTTTGTCTTCAACCAAATAGGGCTATCTTCTGTATACCCCCCCTACCTTGTCACAACACAACTGATTGGCTCCAACGCATTAAGAAGGAAAGAAATTCCACAAATTAACTGTTAATTGAAATGCATTCCAGGTGACTACCTCATGAAGCTGGTTGAGAGAATACCAAGAGTGTGCAAAGCTGTCATCAAGGCAAAGGGTGTCTATTTGAAGAATCTCAAATATAAAATATATTTTGATTTGTTTGACACTTTTTTGGTTACTACATGATTCCATGTGTTATTTCATAGTTTTGATGTCTTCACTATTATTGTACAATGTAGAAAATAGTAAAAATAAAAACCCTTGAATGAGTAGGTGTGTCCAGACTTTTGACTGGTACTGTACATATAGGTAGGGATAAAGTGACTAGGCAAGAGGATAGATAATAAACAGTAGCAGCAGCGTATGAGATGAGTCAAAATAGTTTGTGCAAAAAGGGTCAATGCAGACAGTCCGGGTAGTTATTTGGTTAACTATTTAACTTAATATTTAGCAGTCTTATGGCTTGGGGGTAGAAGCTGTTCAGGGTCTTGTTGGTTTCAGACTTGGTGCATCGGTACCGCTTGCCATGCGGTAGCAGAAAGAACCGTCCATGACTTGGGTGGCTGGAGTCTTCGATAATTCTTAGGGCCTTCCTCTGACACCACCTGGTATAGAGGTCCCATATGCACTACCCTCTGTAGCGCCTTGTGGTCGGATGCCAAGCAGTTGCCATACCAAGCGGGATGCAGCCAGTCAGTATGCTCTCAATGGTGCAGCTGTATAACTTTTTGAGGATATCAGGGCCCATGCCAAATCTTTTTAGCCTCCTGAGGGGGAATAAGCGTTGTCGTGCCTTCTTCACGACTGTGTTGTTGTGTTTGGACCATGGTAATTCCTTAGTGATGTGGACACATAAGCAACTTGAAGCTCTTGACCCGCTCCACTACAGCCCCGTCGATGCGATGGAGGCGTGCTCGGCCCTCCGTTTCCTGTAGTCCCCGATCAGCTCCTTTATCTTGCTGATGTTGAGGGAGAGGTTGTTGTCCTGGAACCACACTGCCAGGCCACTGACCTCCCTATAGGCTGTCTCATCATTGTCGGTGATCAGGCCAACAACCATCATGTCGTCAGCAAGCTTAATGGTGTTGGAGTCGTGTGCGGCCATGCAGTCGTGGGTGAACAGGGAGTACAGTAGGGGCCCCTGTGTTGAGGGTCAGCGTGGCAGATGTGTTGTTGCCTACCCAAAACCTGGGGGTGGCCATCAGGCAGTCCAGGATCCAGTTGCAGAGGGAGGTGTTCAGTCCCAGGGTCCTGAGCTTAGTGATGAGCTTAGAGGGCATTATGGTGTTGAACGCTGAGCTATAGTCAATGAACAGCATTCTCATATAGGTGATCCTCTTGTCCAGGTGGAAGAGGGTAGTGTGCAGTCAATGACCAAAAGGGCCCTCTTTGGCCTTTCATAATTAATAAAATTAAATAAACAACGAAAATACGGTGTTTCTATGTCACAGTTTTGTTTTCTTACAGTCTTCTGTGATGTATAT